AAGTGGGTGATTTGAGCTCGCAAATTTGCATCAATTCGTTCAATACTTATGTGTACTTTAGAAACATAATGGGTGGTTAAAATATTCTGTCGCCTTCTTATGGTACAAATGGCATTGATTACATGGTGAGGAAGCAACCCGTTCTCGCTCTTTCGTATAGTCAATATTGACTTATTAAATACGTGCATATGTGACATACTAAACATACTAGTTTACCTTGAAAAGCTTCATAAAAAACACCGACCTTACCTAACCTTCTTAGTATGTTAAGATAAGCATCTTATTGCTTCGTAATTACAATTATTACTTAACCTATTATAGGTATAAGTTAAGTAATATTGACTGTAATAAAGTGCGAGAACGGGTTGGAGGAAGATATCAGAGGCATCACATGATGTGCCGACGATGATTTCAGTCGTTTAAAACCACATTTAAGAGATAACGAAGGCAAAGCTGCTCCACGATATCAGGATTTTGGATACTACGAACTGTTTATATATTCTAAGAGGTTTGTGTAATTACTAACTGACAAACATCATTTTCATTAATCTTTCCTATTGCAATTCGTATAAATCTTTAAAATTAATGCTAATAAAGATTTACGATATACACATATAATGTTAAGTAGTCTTCCCGGATCGTATTTTTTTTAATACTTGCCATATAAGTTTAGAAAGAACTTGCGGAAAAGCTAAAACAGCCTGACCCAGAATCAGAGAATATGCCATAACATCATATATAATACTTGGTACAAGGTTGAGTCTTGGTTCTAAAGCAGTACGACACAATATCGAACACGCTGTAGATAATCGACTGTTGCTCTCTGTACTCACAAAACTATAGCTATGAGATCTATACATAACTCCCACCCATCGTAATCCGGCCTGTAATGATACGGCCTTTTCGCGAACTACCAATTTCCGCGGACTAGTGGAACGACGCTACGTGGACTACCTGTGATCAGTGACAGGATTGTGTGGGTACCAACTAGATGTCATCTAAGACTTTATGTACGGCCTCGCTTCATGCAGGTCGGCGTTCAATCCCCCGATCCATCCAAGTGGTTGGGCACCATTCCTTTCCCTCCGTCCCATGCCTAATCCTTATCCTGACCCCCTTCCAAGTGCTATATAGTCGTAATGGCTTGGCACTTTCCCCTGATAAATCCCTCCCCTTAGTAGAACCTCTGGTTGTGCTACTTACGGACTCATCGTGATTCGTATTTCAGGAGAGACGCAAATGTGATCCCACCGCGCACACATGTTCAAAAATACCAAACACGGTCTTGTGACCGCTTGGGATAGTTCATATTGTTTATATATTCATAAATTCTCCGGTCCTTTGTTTTGCTAATGTGGTTATGCTCGTCCGAGCTGAGGCCGACACCGAAAGATCAATTCTCAAATTTTAACTGTGCGATGAAAAATGATATTTTCTTGAATATAAATTTATACTAATATATCTCAAAATTTTGTGCATAGACCTAGGACAGCTCAGGTGAGAAGTTTTGGCTCTATTTGCAATTATTTCTATTTGCAGTAAGTGGGGTGAAACATTCATATACCTGCGATTGCAACGCAATCAGTTGTTAATCACGTGTAAAGTGATTTCTATTTACAAACAGGTGGCGGTCGCTGGATGAACGAGCCAGTGTTTAGAAGACCGGCTGGCAAAATATGTCTAACGAAACGGGCTTCCTCAACGAGGCCACCCCCCGCTCGACGCGTCGGAACGGTGAGTATTAGAATGATACTGGCTGTTAAGATTAGACCTGGCAGGTGGAATGGGTTGTTTAGAGAAAACAAATACAGAACAATGTTGACCAGACCACACACTAGAAGTTGAAGGGACGACGACGTTTCGGTCCGTCCTGGACCATTCTCAAGTCGACAATCGACTTGAGAATGGTCCAGGACGGACCGAAACGTCGTCGTCCCTTCAACTTCTAGTGTGTGGTCTGGTCAACATACTTCAGCCACGTTATTGTGACTCATCGCCTGAATACAGAACAAGAGTGAAAGATAAAAGCAACATAACGAACAAATTTGATCAGTTGGCAACGAAGAAGAAACTAAAAACGAGAAACTTATCCTAAAAAATTAGGATTTCCCATAAATAAACACTACATGAACTCCCCATAGTAATAATTGCAAGGAATCTGCGTCTCGTTGAATGGAAAAATGCAATAACACCTGGCGTTGCAAGCCCTTGCAACACGCCAGAGTAATGAAAACTGTGTCCTGCATACAGAGAGGGCAACGCTTCTGACATGAAAATAATACACAGTACGGTGGATGGTGAATAATAATTTGCGTACTGTGTCTCTTCGTTGGTGACACATGGCTTGGTGACACATGGCTTGGTGACACATGGCTTGGTGGCACATGGCTTTGTAAATGTTGATCAAATGTGCAACTTAGGCTCAAATATTGCTCCTCTATTACGCTATGTAGTGTGTTCAGTCTGGGACGAGGCTTATGTACTCATCTTTTATTGAGTCAAGGTGAGATTAATGATTGATGTACGATCTTCAGTTACAATGAGGCTTATGTGCTCATCTCTAGGTGAGTCCTCCCACGGTGTAGAGGGCCAGGGGTTCTTCTCCCACGGTGTAGAGGGCCAGGGGGTTCTTCTCCCACGGTGTAGAGGGCCAGGGGGTTCTTCTCCCACGGTGTAGAGGGCCAGGGGGTTCTTCTCCCACGGTGTATAGGGCCAGGGGGTTCTCCTCCCACGGTGTAGAGGGCCAGGGGGTTCTCCTCCCACGGTGTAAAATACGTTGACGAACCGACTTGTGTACGATCTGAATTTATCCAACTCATTTTGTGTGTATTGTTGGTAACAACATCGTAAGGTAGAAGCCACGAAGGATCTGTGTAGAGAGCGTATGAGTTGGTCACCCCTTAAATCGTCGTACTTGAAAATGGTAGCGGCTCGTGAAATTCACATGCACTCCCGTTTTCTGTTTTGGGTCCTCTGGTATGTTAGGATAAGAGCACTTTAGTACGCCAGTTTCTTGACGTTGGAAAACCTTTAGAAGGACGAGCTGGAGGCTTGTTGACTGTGAGAGGCAAGATAGCAATGCACTGCAGAGTGTATTAATGGTCATCCTTTTCCTTTCTTCTGTCTTCAGTAAATAAGAGAAACATTCAGATTCACCTTTCTTTATGGGACGGCTCATACGAAGGGAAGAAAGGCCCAGGCAGTCTGGGACCAGGCACTGTGCTGGGCACTGTGCCAGACTCGGGGCACAGTGCCTGATGCATAGACAACAGAGCCCTTAACAGGTAACTATGACAGCAAGAACTCCACTCTCTCGGAATTCGAAAACTTTTGCGAATTTTCTTATAATTGATGGGAATGGAGGCGATGTCTGACCCATTATGGGTTAGTGTTCCTTAGTGACCATAAATCACCTTGTTAAAAGTTGCGGAGCCGGTCCACTACATCGTAAAGTTGTTTAGAAATTAAAGATGAAAGATTATCTTCGTGCTGAAAAGCATGATATACTATGTGAGGCTTTTTTATGTATAGGAGTTTCAGCTTTTGTTGTGAAGCTGCGTTGCTGGTTATGTCTAGGGGCTGTAAAGCTCTTAATAGAATAGATCCGCCTGGCACGTCTTGCTGGGAACTGGATAGACCTATCCCTCTTCCCGCCTGTCATCTACCCGCCTCTTCCTTCGTCTATTCCCTCGACTACCGTCTATCCTCTATCCTCTCCTTCCCATTCTTTTTCTTCCCCATGCCTCTTTATCTCTCTCTCCCTCTCTTCCCATCTTATTTTTCTTCCCTCTTCTCTCTTCCCCTCTCGCCCACTATCCTTTTTTCCCTCATCCCCTCATTTTCCCCATCCCTCCCATCCTCCTGGAACCTCAAACAAGGTCAAGCATTCCCTCACGAATGACGTTATTTATAAATAGACATCCCCCCTCACTCTCAAACACACCTATACAAAATTTAAATACAAATAATCTTTCAATAAAACTCGTAGCAAATAAAAACTCTCAACATTAGATCGGAGGCGTCAATAAACCAGTGCCTCCCCCGCCGGTGGGATATATATATGACTGGAAAACAGAAATCCCATTTAGAGTGTTTAGGTTTAAGGGGGACGAGGCTGCCCCTGGTGGCGCCAGACGGGGTGATCAAGTGGCACCAGGCGGCCTTCCCTCCCTTGGCACCCCGAGGCCCGGCTTTGTTGATGCAGGGAGACCGCTGGCACACACCCTTACAGGCAGCGTCGTTCTCCTGTGGTGCCGCAACGTGGAGATAGAGAGAGAGAGATGGAGAGAAGAGAAAGAGAGAGAGGAGAAAGTGATGGGTTGTCATCGTTCCGATACACTTTGCGCTCATTGGGTGAGTCTGACAGCATATTTTATCATATGGAATAACACTTGACTTTGTAAGCAACTGTGTGTTTCATAGTGTCAGTCTCGTTGTGTACGAGGGGGCGTAGCCCCCCCTCACGTTCCTCTCTCCCCCCCTTCTACTTTCGTCTATAGTCACTCAATCTCGTGTCCACTAGACCGCGTCTCGGTAGTACAGTGGTTACGTTCCCGACTCACAATTCAGGATCCCGGGTTAGATCCCAGGCGGGACAGAAATGGTTTGGCGCATTTACTTAACACCTAATGCCTCTGTTCGTCTAGCAATCACATAGTTAAGGTAGTTAAGGCAACTGTTGGGGGGTTGTGATCATTAACACGTGCCAGTTATTATCAAGCTTTTAGAGCATAAAACATTTCCCTAAGCCACTACCACAAGCATTTTCACGTCTCACCTCACTGTGCCAAATCGCTGCCGTAAGGCGGCGATGTGTAGTGTTCCATTCGCCTGGGTTCTAGGAGACTCGAACCTCGGGCCCCCAGCTCTATCGACCGAGCTACTGAGTGGTCTTAATAACGTGTCCTAGAGCCCAGCTGAATGGAAGGTTTATTTCCACGGAAGTGTGGTTGAAAAATATATATATATATACTATCCCGACCCGTTCCCAAGGCGCTCACCTCCTAAGGATGCGATGGTCAGAAAGGCGAGATTCACAGAGAGCGCTGCGGGGCGACGAACCATCTTGCTTCACTTCCCGCCAGGCCGCTGAGAGCGGTGACGTAGGGTCCAGCACGAGAGACGTCCACTCCAGCTCCTCATGGCAGGGTGGTGGCGGGCTGGCCGGCCCGGAACTCGAACCAAGACTTGGGTGTCAGTGTGTACACTTGGAGGGTGTTCTGAGGCTTCATTCTGGGCGACTTGAGAAGGCTTGTTATTTAGGTTCGAATCTTTATGCAATCAACCCAAAATCGACGTCACATTTGTTCTCATAAATTAAACATATCTTTACAGGTGATGACAAAGGTTTTTTTTTACGCCATTTACAGTCTTTTGTATTCACAATTTTAAGTGCATTCTTCACTTCTAAATTTCTAGAAATTTGATTTAGATCGATTTGTATTCCTAGGGAACTGTTGCTGTCGTACCATCACATGGGACTCACACACGTCTCGAATCCTGAGCCAATCTGCAAATAAACAAAAAAAGTCTTTATCAAATAAGAGCCACAATAACCCTGCAATGCTTTCAAATGTCATGCAATACAGTTTGCAACGTCACACACAGAGATCACACTAACGTGATGCATCAAATGAACAAATCAGGCAGGCAGAACAAATTAAGGCAGTGTCTGGGATGCTCCCGGACGCAGGTTCGAATCCTCGTCACGGCCCTTGTGGATTTGCTCAGTTTGCAATGTATTGCTTTGCATTGCAAAGATGTGGTACGGTCATATGATCCTCCCCAGAGTTGCGGTGAGATTAATGGTCGTCTCTCTATACGGGGGAGGTCGTTAGAAGGGGCTTGTTTACGTGAGCTTGAGAGTCGGAACAGCTGCGTGTGTTCCGAGCTGTCGTTCAGACCATCACATTGATGGACCATGTTTCATACATGCTTCAATGGCCATTAGGGAGGGTTGAAGTTTCCAAAGACAGCTCGTACCCCTCAAGAATTTGCTACGGTAGGGCGTGGTATATCTTACTGGGGTTACTGTGTTGTGCAGTCTATGTAGTGTTTGAGATACGTGCTTGTTTGTGATATTTACGTGCATATGTCTGTTACGTACATGTCCGTGTTACGTGCTTGCATGTTCGTGTTACGTAGGTGCATGTCTATGTTTTGTCTGTGTTCTTGTAGTACTTGCTTTTAAGACGCGTTCTTGATTGATTCATGATTCCTGGCTAGTTTATTGTGTATCCCCCATGATCATCCTGTGAGCGGTAGCGCAAAAAAGATTACAGAAAGCACGTCCTAATCAGATCTCAGTTGAGACTTATACATTAATTTCACCTAATTTTCACACCTTATAATGATGTCAGATAACAATTCAACGCAATATTTATTTTGACAGATTATCTTACATTAGTGATGGGGTTGTTACAAGATCGTAATAGAACTTCAGCTCTTTATTATTAATCTCCACATTATACAACCTATTCTTAAACACAGATGTCATTGGTCTACTGGAATTACTTCATCCCTATACAAGCGGAACTGCCAGAGGTAGCCAAGTCGTATTCGAACTGTGACAACATCTGTTAGTCTGCTGATGTTGTTACTTGGCTCATACACGTGTTTTGTTTAACCCGTTGGGATGAACATTAGACCTGTTAGTTCCTGTTTTCACTTTTATCTCTAATTCATGTTTATCTAAGATTCTCACGTCTAATGACGTGGTTTATATCTTCCAATTCCTTTCCTTTATCCTTCTCCTTGCTCTATCCCTCCGTCACTTGGCTTCTTTAACTTCTCGGCAGCAGCTTCAATCTTACCTATATTTTGCTCAGTTCAAATAATTAGACTGCAACCGGCTCATTTGCATACACAATCCGTCGTGTCACCGGTGCCATGCCCAGCAACAGTCTTCATCCTCTCCCATTACCCTCCCTTCCTCTCTCTCTCTCTCTCTCTCCTTCCCTTCCCTTTTTGATACCCAAACTTCTGAACTTCTTCCCTCCCAAGAAAGGAAAATAACCTTGCGAACCCCCGTTTTCTTTGAAGCTTCCGAACCCATTTCTCCTTCGTATTCTTTTTTTTGGGGGGGGAGGTAAGATGGGGGCGGAGTTACGAAGGTAATCAAGATAATTGCTTCTCGTACATATGGATCTTTTACCTCTTCAAGTTTGGTGTTGTTTGTAACGTCTTAAATATAAAAATCTAACAAATTGTTATATTCTTTTTACACAACACTGTCATCGTATTCTCTTGCACAATATTTCAGTTCGTGCATAAATGAGCTAATATACATAATGGTAAGGGTCTACACACACACACACACACACACACACACACACACACACACACACGCACACGCACACGCACACGCACACACACACACACACACACACACACACACACACATCAATGTAGATATGATAGAGCCCAGTAGGCTCAGGAATCTGTACACCAGTTGATTGACAATCGAGAGGCGGGACCAAAGAACCAGAGCTCAACCCCCTCGCAAACACAACTAGTTGAGTACATCGTGGTCAAGTAAGTGGTGCGTGTGCTTTGGGTGACCAAGGGTTAGCCAAGTATGTTGACTAGACCACACACTAGAACGTGAAGGGACGACGACGTTTTGGTCCGTCTTGGACCATTCTCCAGAACGGGAGAATCTTCTTGAGAATGGTCCAGGACGGACCGAAACGTCGTCGTCTCCTTCACTTTCTAGTGTGTGGTCTGGTCATCATACTTCAGCCACGTTATTGTGACTCATCGCCTGCACGGGCTAGTCAAGATCAAGGGCATTGCCGGATGATTTGGTTATATCAATTTGTTGCGTGTTATGTATCCAGAAAACCACAAAACGGGGACATTTTGCCCGAAACGCTTTGCGTAATAGTGGCTTTAGGCATTGTATGTACTAGCTCTATCTATAAACCCATCAACTTCTCTATCTTACCTTGTATGTATGTACTTTACCTGAATAAAAAAAATTATTTATTTATTAATATATTTACACCCGGACCGTTTTGCCTAATAGCTAAAGCATGTGTTTGTATCTTGGGAGGAGTGCTTGAGTCTTTGTGTGTGTTGGGCTTTGTAACTCTCGAGGAGGTGTATTTATAGTTTTATATTTTGTACAATTTACTCGGCTGCCTCTCAAACTTCCTCGCATTCCTCAACGGAATGGGTAAGAGGTCCATAAATGAGTAATTAAAGTAACTAAACAGTTCTCCATACCTTGCTTAGCTCTGCACTTCCTGTTAACCCTCGCTTGATTAGTTCTGCCTCCTCTTCCCCCCTAGTTTGACTAGTCCTGGACACCCCTTTCCTCTTTATTGCCTAGTTCGGACACCCCCTTTTCTTGCCTAGCTTGCTTGGTTAGGGGGTTCCTGACAGCTAAGTGGACAGCGCTCGGGATTCGTAGTCCTAAGGTTCCGGGTTCGATCCCCAGTGGAGGCGGAAACAAATGAGCAGAGTTTCTTCCACCCTGATGCACCTGTTCACCTACCAGTAAATAGGTACCTGGGAGTTAGACAGCTGTTACAGGCTGCTTCCTGGGGATGTTAACAAAAAGGAGGCCTGGGCGGGCGCCCAGGCCCGGTTTCGGGCCTGGGCGGGCGCTAGGAGGCCTGGTTTCGGGCGCTAAGCCCCGAAATCATCTCAAGAAGATAACCCAGACTCCCTTTTTTCCCCTAGCTTGTCCCAGTCAAATCTGTTCTATTCTTCACAACAGCGCCCTCCACACTACTCAATCTCTCCTCATAGGCCAGGTGTGAAAATGTAAAAGGGGGGATTATAATTATGAGTAGTGATAGTCATAGTGGTCTTCGTTGATAAATGAGCAGGTTTTAGCGCATAGTCGTATTAAGTTTGTGTACTCACCTAGTTGTACTCACCTAGTTGTGTTTGCGGGGGTTGAGCTCTGGCTCTTTGGTCCCGCCTCTCAACCGTCAATCAACAGGTGTACAGATTCATGAGCCTATCGGGCTCTGTCATATCTACACTTGAAACTGTGTATGGAGTCAGCCTCCACCACATCACTTCCTAATGCATTCCATTTATCAACCACTCTGACACTAAAAAAGTTCTTTCTAATATCTCTGTGGCTCATTTGGGCACTCAGTTTCCACCTGTGTCCCCTTGTGCGTGTTCCCCTTGTGTTAAATAGACTGTCTTTATCTACCCTATCACTCCCCTTCAGAATCTGTGTGTCTCGTCCCCCGTGTTCTTCGCTACTGCCAAGTGAATACCTTTCTGCAAGTTACAAAGTATGATCTTAATTCTTATGTGGGTTATTTTTAACTCTATAATAAAAGATGTTTTCACCATGATCTCTCTATTTTACTAAATTTATATATTTTTTCTGGCAAATTTCCTTTAAAACACCAAATGCGTCAATAGCTACCACGAATGTTAACGAGAGACATCGTTCGCTAACGTTCAAATAATTGGCAGGAATCCTATAACCGAGCGAGGTGGGGCTGTCTTCACTAACACCCTGCTCACTGTAACTCCATCCAGGGTTGGCAATAACACCTGGCCTCTATTCACCGCCCAGCCCCTGCTCTCCGTCAGCGGGGATCTGGGAACCTATACACACCACCTCTTAATGCTAGGATTGTGGCCGAAATACAGCCAGCTTGTAGATACACCCATATTGTCTACCTGAGCGCGTTATTAATGCAAATGTTTGGCCAGCCGTTGTTTGGAGGCGTTAATGAAGGTGTTCGGATGATCCTGAGGGAAGAGGGGAATGGAGGGAAGGAGGGAGGGTTGGGGGGATGGGGTTGAGAGGGGGGAAGGATGGAAGGAACTATCAGGGGGAAAGCGTCAAGCCATTACGACTATATAGCACTTGGAAGGGGTCAGGATAAAGATTTGGAATGGGACGGGAGGCAGGAATGGTGTCCAACTACTTGGACGGTCGGGGATTGAACGCCGACCTGCATGAAGCGAGACCGTCGCTCTACCGTCCAGCCCAAGTGGTCGGGATGGAGTAGAAGTTATCCATAATACCTGTCTGATATTACCTGATATACCTTGTTGCTGCTGCTGATTTCCTTACTGCTGAACGCACTCACTGAGGTCAGTCCAGCCTAAACAGCCTTGTGGAATATTCTTTTTACTGTCGTAACCTCAAGAATATGTGACGACGGCTAAATTAGCAGTAAGACAATCACATATCTGACCTTCAGCTCAATTTTTACGCATTTGGGGAACAACAATTTAATCATTGTTCACTCTGCGTAAAAAATTATAAGGTGTTGCAAATAGTTGCAGCAGAAGACAATACTGCATCGAGGTGTTCTCTGCTATGATAGAGGAATATGTTAAATGGAAAGATCTAAAGACATCATATAAAAAAGTGTAAATATTCATACCGGTCTTAAAGGGAAACAGACCAGTGGGAATCTATAATTGTTGAGTTTTGTTGGTTGGCAAAGGTTTAGAGCAGGTGGAGCTCTTACAGGTGCTAGTAGGAGCTCTTCCAGGTGTTAGCAGGAGCTCTTCCAGGTGTTA